GAAGGGTTAGAATATCACTGGAGTGAATATGAAGCAAACGACCAGTAATCGTTCGGCACATGATACTCCCATAAAAAAAAAACTTGTTCGGTAATTCGGATAAAAACTTTTTCGGTAAAGCCAAAATTTTCACAGCGCATAGAAACCGAAAGAAACTGTGCATCTCGGGTTCCTTGAGATATGACAATGGTAAGATATCCATGAAAAACCGGGAAAAATTCAAAAAACAATTTATCTGTTTCGATTTCACTTAAAAAGTTAAATGTATTGCACATTTCGTTATAATATTGCCCGGCAGGGCTGACAATACAGCAGGACCGACATGCAACAATAAAGCAGACAATCTTCAGACATCGAAGTGAAGATTTCAATGGACATATAAGCAAAACTATAGTAGCACATTTTTTACTCCAAACGCTGCCTATTATTATTATTATTATTATGTATTAGTTATTAATTATTAGTACAACAGAGTTCATTATATAACCGTTATACTTTCTGAAGATTTTCGAAAAGACAATTCACATTAGAAAAGCCGCATTTTCTATCTTTTCTGAAGTTGTTTATATACATTATGTCGCGTAAGCGGTTAAGCGATAAGTAGATTCTGACGATCATTACTCACAGAAAAAAAAATCGTTGCGTTTTAAGGCCTGTTGAATTTTCCATTATTATTTGATATCATGTGGCCGATTGCATAGAGGTCACGCTCAAACTGGTTTTAAATACTCAGATAGATAACTTTATGTATAACTTTTATAGAAAATCCATATTCTTTTTAAAACAAAGAAAATTGAAGGCGAAAACATGCTCCAAATTTAGTGAGTTATCCAATCTGCCATCAATACTCTTTATTCATTTACTAGTCTGTACCACATGACGCGATTGGAATTATTTATTCCCTTCAAAATTATACAATATAACATTTATTTTAATCAATTTAACTTCCAAGTAAGCTCGGATGATTCATATCTTATTTCGAGTGCTTGTTACGGAGTTGGGTCCAGGATGGCAGCTCGGCCAAGCGCGCTATTTGTACCACCTTTTAAATTTGTCCGAAAGTAACGAAAACATTTTTAAAAATACTCTCGGCCATTTACTTGGGAAAAAGAGATTCACCAGATAATCTCTGTAAAGCGATATGCGGCCGTTTGAGATCAAAAATCGAGTTGTAGGATAAAAGAGCTCGTGCGTATACTCCGCTCATCTTTCCGGTATGTGGACAACGGAAATCATATATAGTAAGGTGGAATGAAAACGGAATACCTTAGAAGTTAAAATATATCTAAAATAAATGTGAGAAGATGAGCTAATTGTATATTTACTGAATTAGTTCAAATGTTAGAACCAGTTCCAAATAGGAATCGATATTTTGAGTAATGTCTCAAACAATTTTTTAATTATGGATTCAAAGGAAGACGGAAATATGTTAAAGAAGGATAGTTAGGTGTAACTACTGATTACGTAATCTGTGGAAAAGTTGAGTGAGATTGCAAAGTGACGAAAGCATAAACCGACAGTCTGGCCTCGCGTATCCGCAAGTCCCGCACTCCTCGCCGGGCCTGCCGCACGCCGCCTGGCCTGCCTGCGCCGCTTGCGCGTCGCGCCGACGGAGAGGCCCACAATTAATCGGGGTGACGCAACGGCGCAGAAGGGAGGGGCGGACGAACGTTTTCGTAAATTTCTCTTTACGACGCTTCATTCATTCGATTTGATGATTTGTCACGGCGTGGATTCCAGGCAAGCATGTCGCCAGTCGCGGCTATAAGGCCCACAATTTTTTAATTTTGTCTCGGGAAGTCGAGAAACAAATTTTCCAAATTGAATTTTGCTAGATTTTGAAAAAAAGGGCATCGCTAGCGTGAATTCTATTTTAAAAAAAGCGTCAAATGCCGTTTACAGGTCGAAAATCGGGAACCATTGATTTCAGACGTATCAGTAAAGTAAATTCCCCCGTGATAGTGCTGCGATTCTGATTGCATTTTCCTACAAGTATTTTTCGGTGCAGTTTAGCCTTAAAATAATTGGTTACTTTGTCGTTACAGTTGAAGCGTAATAATAACGGATCCTCCTTTATCACATTCAACTACTGAATGGGGATTAACCTTCAAAAACTTTTTAGTATCTCTTAAGTTCTATTCCAGTATTTTTTGTTCCTTGCTGGATGAAGGATTAAAAGTTATGTAATGCCCATTTTTTTCATTTATATTCTGTATTATCGTGAATATTATGGCGTCGCTCATCTTCTCCCCACCCCCAGTTTCCTTCGTTTACGACTAGTGGTTTGTCTGCATTCTGAGTGTGTTGAACTTTCTGTCCCTTCCCGGCCGTGATTCGCGAATGTCCCTCTTCCCACACGAACTCGTAAGAAGAGCTCGCGAGACGCTTTTTGCTGTTTTCTTGTGCTCGGTAAATGACGCAAGGCAGTGCACGTACGCGTGGTTAATCAAAAGAGCGATTGTACCCTGGAGAAAACATTGCTCTGAAGAAGCGCCGCGTGTCGTTTGCCTTTTAGCTTCCAGCTGCAGAAACTCGTAATTTGGAAAGGTTTCAAGGATGATGAGTTAATGTCTCCCTTGTGAGAGGGCAATTAAATTAATTTTTGGTTACGGGTTCCACGTGCGTATGAAGTAATTGTATTATTCTAATTAACCGTATCTTAAACACGTTAAGAATTTTATCTTTTGTGCCGTGCCACTCCAAGTAAATTATTTGTTGAAAAGTGATTTAGATGATTTCAGCCTCGGATCGAGGAACTGCTAGTAGGGTTGGCATGTGGAAGGACCAATCCTATTTTTTTAAATCTTAACCACAGAAAAATGTCACATGATATCCGCTTTGAAAATAAATCAACAATACTAGTTTTTCAAAATTTTCATAAGTTTAGAAGATTAAATATATTTATTTTACAAATAAATATAACCTCGTAGTACGTGAAGGAACTCATAAAAAAAGTCGAAAACTTAAGTACTCTTATATGTAAATTTCCATTGTTTCCACGCAAAGGCATCTTCAAAAATGCGCAGCTTCTTCAAGCTTATCGCAGCTTTTTGCAGCCGAATGACCATTCGAATGGGTAACCTTCGCACAATGCGTTTATTAAAGATTTTGCTAGAAAAAAATATTTTCAGAGTATTTTGAGGGATATACTACAGCAATTTCGCTCTGCTTCATTATAAATGAATATAGTGATATTGGTCATCTTTTTGGCGATTGTTATTGTAATGCATTTTCGCGAGTCGAGAAATATCGCGTAATCGCATGTATGTACGCAAGCATATTAAGACTTTATGACTAAATAACAATGACTCGCAATATTGTACCTATTCACGACGAGTTTAACGGTCGGTCGAGGCGAATGACTAGAGTAGGAAGAATCTATAAAATAATTATTTTTCCGCTGCCCTGAGATGAATGTAATTGCTTGGGTTCTAAAAACCAATGTTTATGATTTATTATTAATTCTGCGATTAAATGTGGTTAATTAATTGATGGTAGAATATCTTAACTTTATTAAATTAAGCTTACATTTACTAAAGACAAATTACCAAAAAGTAGTTAATTAAAAAAAGTAATTAATAATAAATAGTAGCTAATTTCACCACACAAGCCTTACTCCACTTCACTGAACTGCACAACACTTAACTGTTGCATTTCTTCCACATTCCTTTCCGTCCACTTCAAAACACAGCATTGCCCAACAAGAGTGATAAAATAAAAATACGAAATAACTCTGAGGTGGATTTTAATGAAATGTCATTTGATTGCAACATATTGCAATGAATCGCATACTTAATTCAGGGTTTAAATTTCCCGAAGAGAAACCCCTAAGAAGCAAATGATTGAGAAATATACTGTATATCGACGTAACGTCACAGGGAATGATGAATCCAGATTTTGCGTTCATTATTTTAAATCGTTCTAGGTTAAATGTTTCCGATTAGTGAAGGTATTTTCCGTGTTTTAAAGGGTCGTTCAGTATGCCTCATAAAATATTTATCATCAAGTAAAACTAAATTATGTAAGGACTGAAAAGAAAATGTTACAAAGAGGATAATTCAATTAAGTCGTACGAAGCCAATTTATAGTCGACTTATTTATCATAAGCTAAAGGACGCCTAATAGAATGGCGCAGGTCTCATTTTTGTCAGATCTGAATTAACGAAAATTGCAAAAGTTCAAAAACGTTTTCAATGAGTTCCTATAACTACAACAATGAAGTTAAGAGATATTTTCTTTTATAAAATCTGTTCTACAAAGACACATTTGAAATAAGGTCAGAAACAATATTTCGAAGATGAGTAGTTTTTACGTGAACCAGGCAATTTTGAAACACTTTTATACAATTATTTTCACAAAACGGCCGCAAATTTGTTCAACTTTTCCTCATATGTAGCAAAGAAAGGTAAAGAAAGGGTTTTTGGTCCCAAAAATTTTGGCAAACTCTGTGCACTTTTGAAACTTGCAAACAATAAAAAAAATTAATATTGCAAAAGTAAATACACATAATATAGATTTTTTGTTAAATGAAATCTGTTCTAATAAATCAGTTTTTTTAAAGAAGGTCATGTAGAATTTTTTTTAAAAAGTGTAGTGTAGCATTTTTTTTCTGTTTTCTAAATAGCATATTCGAATATCCTGCACTTCTTTCCTTACAATCTTTCAGTAATTTTCATGTTGCACTGCACCAAAAGGAAAATTGGAAATAAGGCAGTTTGAAATTCTAAAAAATAACTTTTAGTTGCAGAAAGGACCAGTGGTATCTATTGTCAAATTTGTGTAGATTTATTAACTTATGTTTTCGCGCCTAATGCGCTACGTTTCATAAAGGGATTTTCAACAATAAAGCGAAATGTGTTAAAAGGGTAAGAAATTGCGGTATTATAATTTTTCGTGATTATTTTACTCGTAAAGCTTATTTATAATTGTAATAATATAAACTATATTCCAAATGAATTATGTTGAATTTAAAATGTTGATGTGGAGATTAAAGTACTTACTGTTCATGAACTTGGGTAGCTGTGTGAGCAAAGTGTAGAAGCCCCAGTTCTCGCAGAAATGAGCGCACACGATCGCCCACACGGGCAGAGAAGTGAGGAATTTCCCCCACGGATGCACGAGATCCTGCAACCAAAAATATACTCCCATAACAGATATTCAGGGCACTCCACAAATGTATATTATGGTGCAAAGCATACGAAAAGTAAATGTAGAACTGTCTTGAAACATTGAAAAAGCAATTCTGCCAATGATACTCAGGTGAACGAAAACATTGTGAATGTAGCGTTAATTATTTTCTTTGTTGATGTATTCCAGTGTGTCTAATCGTATTAAGAATAGTTTATGCAAATATTTTTTTTTAAATCTAGTGCAGTTAATAGTCGCTTTCCATTGTGGCAGGCGTTAATGATGTACACTAGCGTAGTTTACCTCCAATATATTTATTTGGATAAGACGTTACAGCATCATCTTTTATAACTATTATTATTATTATTATTATTATTATTATTATTATTATTATTATTATTATTATTATTAGAATCTTCCCTGAATCTTAGCTGATAATTCCACTTTTCAAAGATTAGAATACGAGGAGACGTTGCTGGACTTTTTCCCAAAGGCCATTTTATCAAATGACCATTTTCCCATTGTGAAAACATCAAGAATGTGCAAAAGTGTTGTTTTGAAGTTATTTTAGAATCACTTGCTTCATATGTGTCTCCTCAATTGTGCCTTTTCTTAAATTGTTTTGTATTCATTTCATTCATTTTTCTTTACAAACTAATAACTTGGAAATAAAGTATTTTTCCATAGAATGGGTCAGACATGAGTTGGACATACTCAAGAATGTTTTATGTCAATCACGTGGGCCAAAGTTCGGAGTCTGGTTATTAACTTGGACACGCGTCATCGTCACTTTTGAATTGTTTCAAATAAAATGATAAAATCGAAATGAGTTAATGACATAAAGAAGTGTAATATTGATAATATATGGTAACCCTCAGAAATATCAATGTCAGTAACTTATTCGCTCCATTATACCCACCAACGATTTGACTGCTATCAATTTACTTACGCCAGTTTTAACTGCAAATACGAATACCAACGCCTGTTGATGTCTCAGCCGAATGATTGTCTCAGCTATCATGAACTCTCATCGTACTTTCGTGTTAATTTCTTTAGCGTTGTTATTGCATTACGCTTCAATCGGTTTGTAAGGTTCTTCTCTGTTTTCTACCAATTTCATCTATCCAATTCATACGACGTGTGCATCATTAAGCAACTGCAAAGCGCTAGAGGCAAAGGAAGCAAGCAGTGAGCGACGGGCAAAACGCGTTGCGCCATTTCACTGGTCCAAGTTGTTTTAGAACAATGCCTACCGACACTTTAGATGACATAGGCCACAAAAGGTTAGCTTTACATTCGATTAAATCCGGAATAAAACAATTTGCTTTCTGTAGCATTTATGAGTAGCTTACTCATGTAATTCCGACTCTCAGAAACCACCTGTAGGGACGGGGATCATCGGCGGACCCAAGAATAAATTGCAATGGAGCTGAAAGAACTAATGACACGAGTATTTAGCAATATATTACCATCATTTTTTGCATGTTCGTGTAAAACTTTTCAGTTTTAATGTGTAGCAAGGGCATATTATATTATATTCCTTTCCACAGAGACGCAAATGACTACGTCCTATTTTCGAACTTCCACTTCAAAATTCACTTCCTTGCTCCAGTAGCACAAGTGTTCCCTACCTTGACAGATATTAATTTTAAATTTAAAGTTATAATGAATTGATGAGATGACATTGATGGACGACGAGGCTAAGAGCGTTACCGACTCAGCGCTTCGGTTCGATGGGTCGGGGATTCGAGTCCCGACTTGCACGTTGTGTATCCCTTCTCTAATGTATGTGTTATCGCGAAGGACCTCGCGTTCTGCTGACTCCTCAGAGAAGCCCGCATGTGAGTTAATGTCTAGTGTATGGTGGAATATGCGTTCCATGCGTCCCGTAAAGGGTAACCGGCTGTCTGTTCAAAAACACGAAGAAAATAAATAGATAACGTCGGAATTTCCATTAAGTTATTTCGCATGGTAACGGTTTCGAATCTTTTGAAAACATCCAATATAATTGAAGCATTAATGAAATCGAATAATATCTCTAGTTATTGGTAATGGGAAAATCGTTTCCAAACCTTTTAATTTCAAGTGTTCACTATTTCGCAAATATATCTAAGTGTTCTGCACTGAATTTTTACTAACCTATAACAATCAAGCGAATGACACCAAAAAACACCATTTATTTTCATGACACCATAATTTTCTCTTATTCAACTCATGGTGAACAATACGAAAAATTCGTTACATTAAAGAGACTTTCATGTTATACAGATAGAATATTCAACTCTAGTTTTCACCTTGTTTTGAGACACATCTCCCAATGATCTCTGAATGTATTCCAGTTCGCCGTTGGAGATTCTCGAGTCAAGTTCAGGTCCTTCACGCACCTGCCAAATCCAGGTAACGAACCACAAAACCCCCAGTGCTCCTGAAAAAACAAAAACAAATTTCTTTGCTCAACGTTTTAGTTTCCCATGTAGGTGAGAGACGGCACTTTAATATATGTAATGTATGGGAAGTTGAAAAGGCCGCATGCGGGAGGGTATTTGCTTGCTCTCCGGACAGGCCAGCCCTCTCCGGGCCCACAACTGCAGCCATGGAACGAGGAGCCCTATGATAAGTCAAGGAATGAGGCCGCCCTTTATGTATTAGGGGCTGCAGACACCAGAAAACTGTAAGTATTTGGGGATCGTAATCTGAGGAATTGTGATAACGAGTGACTAGTGACTTGTATTATGAACTGGATAGGACACAGCAACTGAGACAAGTGAAAGGTATTTGCACATCTGGAATTTAGTACATTCGTTTTGGACACTGTTTTTTCTCCTGGTTGTTCTGAATATTGGCAAAGTGTATGGTACTGATTTGGAAACGTAATATGGTAAACCCTTCAGAATAAACTTTTGTTCTTGTATTCATTTCTGACACCTTGTTTGGTACATTTCATCACTCTAGTGTTTGCATCGAAACGTGGTAATTTTTCAACAGAAACAAGTTTTGTATCTTACCGAAACCTAAAAAGTGGATTTTTTTGTTCTGTAGATTCTTAATACGAAAATAGTTTTCAGCGTCTGCATGTCAGCATATCCTACCCGTCCCTCCGTCTACCTGTACATCGGTCCCATCCGTAGGTCATTCCATTTGTTCACCGCTTTTGAATACCACTAGCGTCTAAATCATGTACTCCATTTTTAACACATTTGGTATTTTCTAAACGACCTGACTGATGTAAGGGCCCCTTGAATCTCAAACAGATATTCAAAGTAGGCAACTTCCCTACTTTTGAATCTTTAATGACATTCCCAAAGTCTCAACAAAGAGACCTTTGTGTAATGACTGATCCCCCCTGGTGTTTCTAATTGTGTAACCTTCCCATATCTCTTAAAGTGATTAATAATATAAATTCATAGAATATTCCAAAAGATCCGTTTCTTGCAAATCTCTATATTAACGAGTCAAAGACAATCTGTATACAACTTGGCGCAGACATATTATTTGGTGTAACACTTCTTCGTAACACAATACAGTCATATGGGCGATCTCTCACAAAGTAACTCGATTAGGCTGGGTAATAGCAGGATGTTTTCTCTTACGCTCCATTTCAGCTCTAACCCCATTCTCCCACATAATAGCTGAAATGCGATTTATCGCAACTAATTAAGTATTTTTGGGAGGAAGAGGAAGCCGCTCTCGTACATACAAAAGCTTCTGTTGAACACGCTGAAGCCTATTTTACTTTAACACGTACTAGGGACTAGTGGAAGGTACGTTATGTCTTTCCACGGAATCCGAACCACCCCACTAGGTGAACCAAAGGCCCAGACATTGAAAAGATTTTCAATGCTCGAGAGAAACTCTCAAAACGACTTCTTATAAGCAGTCCTAACAACAATCCATGGCAGAGTATTTAGAGTAGGGGCATTTGATCATAGCTCCTCTCTTTGTCCTTAATGATGTATAATAAATACCTCATCACGTTGTGACAATACAGTCCTCAACAACCAGAAGATTGAGTCCGAATTTTCAAAGTGTACAATATTTACTTTATCTGATCTGTGGGCAAGAGTAAAACGTGTACACGTAGACTTCCGCGGCTCGAGTTCATGACTTCTTGGTTGTCCGGGAGACGCCGCGTCTTTGGCTGAGAGGCCGACGTGTCGCCTGTCATATGGTGGGCTTCTTCAGGGTACTGACGAACGTCGGCCTCTCATCCAACGACGCGGCGTCTCCCTGACTGTCAAGAAGTCCTGTGTAAAACTTGTACTGTATTATACGATACGTTGTATTGCAGTATTTATTTTGTAAGTGCATCCACTTGAGGGATACCCACCTCGGTGACGGCAGCAGGGATCGTCTTAAGGACCCTTTGGCTCAGGTCACCGAATGTAGGCTAACATCCGACGCCAAGAGAAGGCCACTGATTCGTCTCGTGACAACTTGCTGTTAATGATGTAGCTGGCCTTGGTTCTGACGCTGACAGCCCAAGAGGCGACTTTGAAGTTCCTGTATAAATTTACATCAATAAATTTATGGGAATGTTAAAATTGTGAATTTCCGAAACTCTACAGGTCTTACTGTATATTTCGACTGCAATGGCGGCTCGCCCTTAGGTTGCACCATCACGTGGTCCTTAAATACTTATCATAAACCAGGAATATATACTTTCTGTATATTTTCACCCAATGAAACAATGCGTACGTATGAAATTATTTTATATCAAAAGTTAAAAATGATAAATTAAAACCGCCAATAGAAAACAATAGAATTTATACTAATAGAGCCCACTTTTCCGGATGGGGCAAAAATTAACTGTGCGCTTTCCTTGCAATGTCCCAGTATCTGTTGTTGTGTGACGATGAAAAAGCTCACTTCTGAGATTGAGAGTACCAGAATACTATGTTCTAACCACACGTACCCCTTAACCCACGACCGCAAGGCCGTAACGCCGCTGGTAGGCGCTAGCTCGTAAAGAGTTGTTGTGCAAAGTACGTGCGTACATACGTAGATGAAGGAAGGCCAGTCGTTGGTGCGTGCATTCAGACTACCTTTACCCTGTTTTACTCACCGAAGACGTAGAAGATGGAGGGCCAGCCGGCGGTGTTGGCGAGCAGGCCGCAGACGGGCAGCGAGACGACCGTGCCCACGTAGCTGCCGGAGAAGGCGAACGTGGCGAGGCGCGCGCGCTCTTGCGGGGGTGCCCATCGCGCCCATAGGGCGTGGATGCACGGGTATGTCACGCCCTGCGGAGTCATTTTCACATGTGAGCGCTGACTGCGACTTGTCTTAATCTGGGTGACTTTTCGTGTACATTTCATATTGGTCCCCCTTGCGAGTTTTTGAAGAATCTGGGGTTTCACCGAAAATGACCTGCACCATTCTCTGAACGTCCTTTACGCTATCTGAGGACAAAGTTTAATACACAAATTGGTATCATTTTTGAGAAAATTTTGAAAAGTTTTGAAATTTTTTTTCATGTTAAGTACCCTCGAAAATCAAAATATCCAGTTGTAACTCCCAAACATCTTGAGTTAATTTATATCGGTCGGGGAATATCAATTTTGGACAAAATCGGTTAACGGTTTAGGCGCTAGCATTGACCACAGACGGACGGACGGACGGACGGATGGACAGACGGTTGGACAGACAGACAGACACGTTTTGCCGTCAATCTATTTTTCGATATTAAGGGCCAACAAACATGGATTCTGGCTACACCACGTGTTACAAGAAGTAATTTACTATAGGAAAAGGCTGTATCCACATTATCGTGGGGCCCGACAATACATTTTTTTTCTGTCGAAAATTCGTCGTTTTCCAACGCAACGCATAATAATCTCTTTTTACGAAGTAAATGCGAGAAAGTAAAAGAAAAGTGAACTAGAAATGTTTACAACTAAATATATTCTCAAGATCCATCTTCTTTAACATTGGAAAAACTTCATAGCGCATGTATAAAATCAAGGTTTTCTAAAGGTAAACCAAAATACCTTTTCCTTCCTTCTTTCAAATCTAAAATTAATTAAAACTAATTAACAATTAATTAGAGCAAATCAGTCATATCTTATAGATGGCGTCTTCAAAAAAGGCACTGTCTTCTTTCATACAGTTAAATCCATTGAAAGACTCATTTGACTACGAAAGAAAGAAATTTTAAAAAGATGTTAAAATTTACTTACATTGAAGTTTCTGCGGCAACAGATTAGTTTTGTCTATAACTGATCCTCCAATTTTATCGCTAAATCAACCTTCGCTTAATTTTGCTCTCGCTGGGCACACAAATCGAGGGAAAAATCAAGAACATTCAACCATTTGATATATCAACTTGCCCAATTGTAGAAAATAGCATGAGCACTATTTCTCTACATGCCACCGTTTCGACGTAATGAAGTTTGCACAGTAATGTGTTTATAATATATTGTCTCCGTAGCCAATGAATACTTTGTCAAGAAAGAATATAAGTATAAATAAGTACTCGCCAATAAAGAGAACGGGTTATGATCATACTCGCCTTAAAACTGCCTAAAACTTAGCATACAAATTACAACAGCCAAACAATTAAGAGATGGTAATTTCTTGCAAAACAATTATTTCATTATCTGGAGCGAAATGATAGAGAACAAATCGGACTGAGAAATTTTGTATCTCGTTTGAAGGCAATTCAAATAAGTCATTAAAATTGCAACATTTACAAATTTATAAACAACTTTATATTTTTGCAAATATAATGAGGGGAGGGTCCCCGAAGTCTCGGAGTCAAAAACAGCCAAATAACAATTTTTCAATAGTTAATATTTCCAAAACAATTTCGAAATGTTTCTACAACGCTCGCGGAGGGTACGGAAATTGTACGTGAATTGAATATTGAAAAGTACGAATGTTGAGAAGTGTCGCACATTGATTGCTAAATGTTGGTTTATATGATATAATGTTAAATTGCACTGGCCTATTCACCCAATTTCTCAACTGAAAACGAAGACTACCCCTTTATTTAGTAAGAAATATTGAAAAGTGGAATATCCAACGATTTGAGAGCGTAGGCTTCCGCGGCCGGAGTCAGTATTTACTAGGCTGTCCGGGTGACGGCGCGTCCATGGCGAAGGTGCTGACGTTTCGGTCGCCATTCTGCGACCTTCCTCAGGGCGTAATGCGCCCTGTCTTACGCCCTGAGGAAGGTCGCAGAATGGCGACCGAAACGTCGGCACCTTCGCCATGAACGCGCCGTCA